CGCATTTTTCTGTATCTGATTCAAGGACTAAGTTATTAGCGCTCAAATATTAGATTGCATTCAACCAAGAGAATTGCGGCGAACAAATAATAGCAGATTTGGTCAGAACTTTCGACAGCAAAATGGAATTTATTTTGTAATTAATTTACAATATATTTATATTTGAATTAACTTATTGCTAGTGAAATGCGGTTGCAACAAATTAAAATTGACTTACAAGAGACTGAACCATCGAGACTGAAATCTTTTAAAATTAAGTTGTACATTCATCAAATTGAAATTTAAATGAAAGTATTTTATGTATTTGCTATTTTATATTGTAGAATAATATTTTTTTGTGAGGGCAACCCAACGGTCATCCACCCATCTTTTTTATATAGGTATATCTAATACTGCCATTTATGTGCTGCAGCCCAATTAAAACGATTTTGACCTAAGATTATATTTGAGGGAGCGTCCATTAATCACGAGAGCGAGTTTTTAAGGATTTTTGGACCCCCCTCCCCCTTGATGATACATGGTGATTTTTAAAATTAACCCCCTCTTCCGCACCAAACATCACGTGCATTTTTAGTTATGTGAATAAACTGGAAAATTTTTGAATAAAGTAATTTTTTTTGAAAATGTTTGATTTTCTAAAAAAAAAATCAGTTAAAAAATAAATACACGTGATATCACATTATACCCCTCCCTCCCTCACGTGATATTTTGTGATTTTCTGTCAAACCCCCCCCTCCCCCAAAAAACCTCACGTTATTAATGGACGCCCCATGAGATATATGACCTCAAGTGTCAACTTGATATCATACTGTTTGATGTAGAGCAGGGACTGCAGAGACTAGTTTGTGCCAACCACCGTTTGTAACCATTACACCACGACGATTAAGAATTTACTATTTTACAATTTTGTATTTAACATTGGTCTTCAAATTCTCACCATGAAGTGAATTCTAAATTAAAATTTTTCTTCTATTCTTATTTTTTTATTTATTTATAGCTCATAGAGCTTATAAAACCTACAAAGCTTATTGTATCTTGATTGTTATTTTTAACGAATTTAGTTAAAATGGTTAAATTTAAAATTTTTATTTTCCATAATGTGAAATTTGACCATCGCTGTTATAGCATTTAAATGTCGAAATATTTATTATTTATTTATTCAATTTTAATATTTAGAATAAATATCAGTAATGTAGTATTTTCAATTTCCTGGATAAAGTGATTGCTGCAAACGACCGTTTAAGGCTTTTTAATGCGTCAATAATAAAAATAATAAGTTAATAAGAATAAAATTAGTACATTAAACATTTATACAAATGCGTATATATATATATATATATATATATATATATACCTATATTGTTGTCATGAACGCGACCTTTCACGGTCGTTGAATGGGTTTAAAGTAATTACCTGTAAAAAATGAAATTACAATTTATTTTCGCAATTAAACCTTAATGTTCTCCAAATTTCGCAATTTTCAAGACCGAACAATGTTAAAAGCGGACATATGTAGATTTAAACATTTACATAAATATTAAAATTTTATGATGATTCGATAATCATCTTGAAATAGAGTTATCTTATCATTGGAATGAACATCTCGTATTAAAACCCGAAGCAAGCCATGGGAAGAGCAAAGTCAAGCGCGAATTCAACTCGTGCACCAAGGATAGATTTTGGGCGCCAAGCACTTTTTGAATAATATATTCAAAGTCACAATTATAGAAATTATAATATTATATTACATGCTTCCACATATACACATAAAAACATATACACATAAGGAACGCCATAGACACTTTCTTTACCGAAGTTCTAATAGACTTGCAATCTTCAGAAAGAAGAGCAAATGGTACTAATTAGGAAAAAAGTATAATTCAGAGCGAGAACAATAGCACTCTAGATCCTCCCCCCATGAAGTAATGCCTAACGGCGAAGACAATAAGCAAGAGGTAATGGGGCGTCCTTTAAAGACGTGATGTTTTTATGGGGAGGGGTGTCTGACAAAAAATCACGAAATATCACGTGGGGGAGGGTGGAGTGTAGTAAGATATCACGCGTATTTATTTTTTAACTGATTTTTTAAAAAAAAGTTCTAACATTTTCAAAAAAAATTAAAAATTCTATAGTTTTATCACGTAACTAAAAATACACGTGATGTTTGGTGGGTGATGATACGGGGGTAAAATTAAAAATTCTATAGTTTTATCACGTAACTAAAAATACACGTGATGTTTGGTGGGTGATGAGCGGGGGTTAATAAGGGGGCTCACGTGATTAATGGACGCCCCCTAAGCGGAGGTTTTAGTCGGTATTATACCCAGTCGGTATTGAGCGCGACATACCCAGACAAAAGACCTAGTCTGGCATGCGTAAACACATTTCCTTCGCTATACATAAAACACACACATACATATATATATACATGTAAAAAATAAACATATTAAATATACAAACGTATTTGTAGAAAAATGAAGGTAAGGTCATAAGTTGTGATCTTACCCAGACAAAAGACCTAGTCTAGGAAGCCTTATATCACTGAAAATTATTTTTTCAACATAAAATAAAACAGAATTAAAATTTGAGATTTTTGTATATAAATCATGCATAGTTTCCAAAAGTAACCTTAATTTTTTTTGAAAACCATCAGACGTTAATTAACTTTGTATTAATTAAAAATTATTTATTTCTTTTTTTTATTAAATCTCATAAATATATAGTAATCAAATAATAATAAATTTGACATAAACTAAGAAAAAACAAACATTAAGTATACAAAAGTATTTGTAGAAAAATGAAGGTAAGTTCAAAGGTGCTTGAGGTCATAAGTTGTGATAATTAACCATTGATTAACATTGATTTAGTTATCAAATAAAACATTAATTGCGTAATGCAATTAAAATAGCTTAATTATTATAAAAACTAAGTGGTAATGAATTTATTCCCATTAAACTCGAAATAAATTATAATAAACATAGAATTCAGGAGGCGCTTCTAATATCTTTGTCATTAGTGATAATTATTATTAGATTATGAATAACATTGATTAACTTTTTAAGTTTCAGCGTTTTTCTAAGATTCAACTTTAAATATAATTTTAGTTAATATTGATTTATAATCATAGTCTAATCAATATTGATTTATATATGGGGAATAAAAGATATTTGTTACTTCCTCAACGACTGGATTAGTTGATTTCAACCAGATTTGCGCAAACTTTATGCTAAAAATAATGAAATTTGCATTTAATTAATTTGATTTGAATGTTGTAGGAAATTAGTAGAAGATTTTTAATTTAAATAAATTTGTTGATTTCCTGTATCTTCTAAAAAATCTTGATACCTATTCTAATTTTAAGAAACGAGATAAAGTTATTTATAAATAAATATTTGTTTGTTTGTTTCATAGATGAAGAAACATAGAAACATGTTTTAGATATTCATTTGTAAATGAGAATTTACTTATATTTAATTTAAAATATTTATGTACTTTTATAATTTTTGACAGTTATTATAGAATTTTCATAATACTGATGACATATTTTGAATTTATTGCAGAAATGTCAAAGTTTAAAATGTGTGAAAAATTTAACTTATGCAGCTTCATAGAATTTTTGGAAAAAAGAAAGCAGTGTGCAAGTAAGTTCATTATTATTATTAATTTATTAACTTCCCGTAGGTAGTTATAGTAATAGCAAAAAATTGAAAATGAAATTTTTTATATATCTTCACGTTTCAAAAGTTTCTGAATATTTTTGGCAAACCTTAAAAAAATGGATGTATATGTGTATGTATGTGTGTGTGTGTGTGTGCGAAATTTTCGTCGACGATTTCGGGAACACCAATCAACCGATTTGAATAATTCCAAAGCATTCGATTCGTATTGATAAGGACATTCTTATTGGCGAAGGCAAGTCTAGCCGTTTCGAAGATACGGAGCAAAAAGTGTATATATATATATATATATATATATATATATATATCTATAACTTTGTCAAAAAAAATAGATATTGAGATGAATTTTTTATAAATAAAGGTTTTTAGCTTTCATAATATCAAAAAATCTCAAAATCGGAAAAAAAATAAATAAAAAACCAAACAACCCCCTTAAAGTGATAGATAGATAATTATGATGCATAGATATTTTCTTTAATTTATGCATTATACCCGGACGTCCAATCAGGGGATTGGCAATAGATTTCGACATTTTTAGGTACGACCAAAGATTTGCTGATGTTCAGGATGGAATGGGTGCAAATATTAAAAAAAAAATTTTTTAATTTTATGGATTCCCTCTCTTAGAGTCTCTTATAAAATTCTAATTCAGAGCCACGGGCTCGCCCGTAGGTAAGCGGTTAAGAGCGACGAGACCTGAATCAGAGATCCCGGGTTAGATATCCACTTCGAGCAGCCTGTTGTCAACGATTTTCACTTGGAAATATAGATAGCAATATGTTTCCAAGTAAAAATAGCCCTTGCCCGGCATTGCTGCACCAATAAAAAGTTAGCCCTATTAGATTAAATCTAATAACGAAAAATCATCAAATATGGATGGATTAACCATTGGGTTACCATCTAAAAAATACGAAGTAAGGAGAAGTTTTAGCCCAACAGCTAATAGGGCATAAGGTTCTGTTTGCTGTTAAAATATATAAATATGTGATAATAAAAAAAAAACAAAATCAGAGCCTCGATCCTTGTCCAATTCACTATGTTATCCGAGCCTTACCTGCAAAAAGCGGCATATCAGAAAAATCAGCTGTTCGCCAGCCAGCACCTTGCACAACCTCATGCACAATTATTCAAATATCTCCATCTCGTTCTGGCTTAAGCTTACCGCACTCATCTTTTATCTCCCTCGATCCTTTCAGTAGCCCAAGAGTTTGCTGGTGAAGAATAATTCAGTATCGTTCGAACTTTCGAACAGGTATCATGCTTACTGTAGTGTTTATGCAGTTTCTAGTGAAATTTTAAAATTTATTTTAATTGAATTAAAGTTGGTTTGATAATAGTTAATACAAGTGGTATTTTAATTTTTGTATTGAGGTATCATTTTGTTTAGTGACGGAATTAAAAAAAACATTTGCATATATATATATATATTATATATATATATATTAATTTAATAATTAATTAATATCATTAAAATATTAACTATAAATATTTTTAAGATTATTTTTTATATATGTTTCTAATTAAGCTATTGATATTAAAAATCTATATTCAGCTACATTATTTTATCTATAATACATCAAGTGTTCAAAAATATAAAAAATTGCGGTTTTTAACGTTATTAAAAATTAATAAAAATATTTGTCAACCCTATTATCCATAAAATAATTAAAAAGTTGATAAACCTAAATAGTTTTTCATGTTCAATAAAATTACTTCATAAATTCAAAAACTACTTTTTAAATATTATTATTTAAATTTAAATTTCTTTATTAATTTTTGGTTCCATTTTTATAAATATTATGTCGTGATGTATCATTATTTTTGGGTAATTTAAAATATTCTTTTTCATTTGATTTTTTTGCTTCTATAATTTTGACTGTTTTTATCCAATTTTCACAACACAATCTGAATCATATTTTAGCCCCAATTTAAAATATTTTTTCCGCAATTTTTTGTAATAATATAGAAATAAAATTTTAATTCAATTAATGAGATAAATTTGTAATATATTTATATATACATAATATTAAATTTAACAATTAAAAAAAAAATTTTTAATTTTCATTAATGGTGATGCCATACAGTTAGTAAGTGTGACCAAAAATAAAGTGACAAACTATACAAAGGTTCACAAAATTTGGAAGCCTAAAAGGTGAGTAAATTTTGATAAAATTATTTTTATTACATCTATGCTGAATATTCCAAAATAATAATAATTATTATTATTCTGAATTAATGTATTAATTTTTTTCATTTTTATTACATTTCTTCAAAATGTCATAAAACCTAAATCAATAGACCAATAAAAAATGCACATTACTAGCTAAGCATTCAGTATAAAATAATTTCCAAATATCATTGAAACTAAATCAAACTATAAATACTGCAATAAAATGATTTCATTCCTAGGTAAGCATTTAGCATAAAATAATCTTAAGAAAAATCACATATATATTCCTGAAGTCTTGAATAGATTTTTACATTATATAAATCATAAATATTATATTCTATGACTCTTCCAACGGTTTTCAAAAGTCATCCAAAAAATTAAGGTAAAACATGATGTAATCGATCATAAATGTTTTATTGACCGATCAAATTAATTGTAATATTTTCAAAGTAATTAATTTATTATTTTATGTTCAAATGCAAACATTCTAAAACTGACATCAAGTACGTTGCAATTTAATAGTCCATCTTATAGAACATTTTCTATAAATAATGCAATGACACATTTACTATTACTTGCTATAAAGAAAAATTAAATTGTTTTCAATGCAACATACAAAACATTTCAGGTCACGATTTTGTTCGTATTATCAATATTATTGTATATCAATATTTGTATATGCCATATATTGTTAATTGATTGCAATATGGATTTGCTTAATTTTATAATTTTATATTAATCATTTAAATTTTTGCATAGACAGGTATATCATAGATGGCAAAGTTTAAGTATGCATAAATTATGTAAATAATAACGATTAGTTATGAATATTTCAAATTTTGTGGTCAACAATTTCTCTCATGTTTTGCACTGAAAACTTGGCTTATGTTTTTTATAGAAAACTTATGCAAGTGAATTTTGAATCCATGTGCAGATAGAATAGGTATTTTGAATTTTATATTTAATTGCAAATTACCAAATATTTTTATTTGGTGATAATTTTTTTGCAATTTTGCAATTTTGGCTAATGTCAAGTCATTAAACAATAGTTAAGTCAAGTCTTATCGGTGTAAGTTTCTCATTAAAAATCCGCTTTTAGAATGCACTAAATATAAAATGCATTTATTAAACATATAAAATGTTTATTTGAATAAAAGCAATAAGCATTATTCAATCATTTTATTTTACAACTTGGATTTGAAGATTTACTTTAGTATGGAGAGTGATTGATGATGCTCTTCGTAAGATACATAGAGATTTTATAAATATCAACTTTCAAGCAAATAAACACACACAGCTATATATATATATATATATATATATATATATAAACAATAGTTTTTAATTAATCGGATCTCTAGTCATAAAACAACATTTATTGATCAGAATAGTAAATAGTTCTTTTCGCACGTTTCTATTGTTTCATCACACTAGTGCAAATATGATATTTTTTGTTCTTCTAGGATGTATAGTAAAACTGGGTATCATTTTTAAACAAATCAAATATTTGAAATGAAAATTGTGTTCTTGTTGTCAGTCTGTAAATTCCGTAAAAATGGTTTTCTTACTATAAATCGATTTACTTAACATTTTGTTCGAAAAACTGTAGATTGTTGTGAAGATTTTGGGCTTTTTCTTTAGTTACAAATGATCATATTTGATATTTTGTTCAAAATTAATTTAACAATAAACTGAGGGTTGTTGCTAGGATTCTTTACTTTTACAAACTCTGGTGTACCTATTTGAGTCAACTCACATTAACCAAAAAAAAATTTCCATAATATTTCAAAAATATTTTTTATTTGGTTAGCAGTAATTTAGTTAGAAGTTCCATTGGATATTTATTTTCCTGGATATTTTAATTTCAACAATGAAAACAATCTTAATCTTTCACTAATCAATTTACGCATAATGTTCAGTAATTAAATTTTTATGTTTGTTTAATATCTTCACATATGAGAATAAACAATGTTGTTGAACATTGATGATTTCCTTATAGCATATAAGTATTTCTTCTCTTCGAATGCAAATGCAAAATAAATTTGCATAGATGTGCGAATAGTTTACTAGACTTGCCCAATTGTCAAAATTTGCATTTACACGAGCTCAAAAATAAATAATGTAATGACTAATGGTTAAAACATGCTGGAACGGCTGATTTTGATAACAAAATTTTGCAAGAAAAACTCGTTCATCGAGTCCAAATAAGTAAATAAATTTGCTTGGAAACAAATATAAAAATATAAAAATAACGCCACAAACAAAGCAAATTTATTATATAAACTAAAATATATTATATAAGGAATTATAATTAAGGTTTTTCTTGAATTCATGCAGAAAAATATGTTAATTAAGAAACTAAAACCAGATCGTTAAGAAACAATCATAAGTCCTTTGAAAACCATTGTAATTTTTTAAAAAGTTAGATAATTTCATTCTGTGAATCCCCTTCGCAAGAAAATATGTTCAGGCATGAAATAACTATAGGTCAAATTATAAATTGCTGAAATAATATTATTAGAATATTAATTTATAACATCTCATACCATCAACTATTTTAATTGCATATTATTTTTAATTTTTATTAAAAACAATACTTTCCATCATGTTGAAATTGTCATATGGTCTTATTGTTCATCAAAATCTCGTATTAAAAATTTCATAGTTTGCAACTTTTGTAATATTATATCTACTCCACAAAAACTATTTGCCAGCATTTTTTCAGTATATATTTGAAAATGTTTTTTTTTAACATGCCTATCAATTTTTGTGTAATTATTAGAACAAGATCTTCGAAATGTTGCATGGATGCTGGAAAATACAAGTTTTCATATTAGATTAGACAACATACTTATGAATAATGATTTTTATATAGATATATTTTTATTATATACAAGTTTTTATTATTAGTTTTGAATTCTTGGAGATTTTTTATGAAATACTAATAAAACTATCGAAATTCAGGATCTTATATTTACAATTGGAATACTATGTAGTACATGTAGACATCGGTTTTTATCGTTGGTTTGTGAACGCTATTATGATTTGGCTTTCTTTACATTTTTATATATGTTTTTTATAAATTATTTTAACTAATCTATTGTTGTGGGCATGCTTGGGTCATAAAGTTTTAAGTTGGCCTGCTTGCGAAAGATTAAAATTTTCCTTTCATTAACACTTGCCAATGAAATACTTGCTCAATTTTATATACACGTTAAAAATTAAAAAATTATATTGTAAATTTTAAAAAAAATAATTGCATAAAAGAATACACGTATAATGATATCTAATAGTTTATTAGTTCTAGAATATAGAATTATAATTGTAAGACCAACAATTATCTGACTATGTTGAGTAAAAATTCCATCTAATTTTGTCGTTTTTCAAAAATTTGTCACCTGGTTCTTTTTAACCCATAGACGGGGTTAAAAGGGGCAAACGGGGTCCAATGTCTTATGTTAAATTTTAAATAGATTTAAAAAAATAATAGCTACATTATTCAACGATTGCAAA